AAGAAACCAATGCAATGTTAGAACCAGTTCAGACTAGTTTTGTAAGTATTTGAAACACACACACATATAAATTTAGAAATGCTTTATAAATTTGCTTAGGGGTAAATTTATTCTTTTTAATAATAAAATGTGATACTTAAACATCACTTTTACAGAGTAGAAATTGATTATATCTTTATTTCTAATATTTATTAGTGCTTCTAAGGGCAAAAATAATTTGTGTTACTATGTGTTTTACAAATTCTTTCCTACAAAACCATCACGCAGGCCTTTTAAGAGAAAGTTCATTAAGGTACACACACCTATTAATTCAGACTCCTAAAAACAGCTAGATCATGTCCATCACTACAAAGAAAGAAAATTTAAGAAACTTCTTTCTCATTGCAAAATTTAAGCATTGTTTTTTTTTTCTGTGCATAAACTTTTCAAATTTTCTTCTTCACATATTTTAATTTCCTTTCTCTATAGTCTCCTTAATCTTTCACTGAGACTCCTAAAACTATACAATTATTTTTTATTTTGTTTTATGTTTTGTGCAGGTCACAATGGGATAGGATGGAAATGTTATCACATGAGGAAATGTTATCACATGATATGTCGCTAACACTCACCAGAACTCTTTTTTCCTATAGCACAAACATCAGAGAGAGGAACTGAAAACAAGGCTTTTTCATATGCAGATGATATACGACCTCTAGATAATCCAAATAATATGAGGGAAATGTTATAACTCCCAGCCTACTAGATGTCCGATACACTGAGCTCATATTTCTCACAGTCAAAGAATGAATTCTAAGAAAAGGAGGTTAAAAGCAGAAAATATGTGTTGAGGAAAAATTGCTTCTGTTTAGGAGAGACAGGAGTCCAGGAAAGTGAGTTGCTGGGTTCCCCACTTCTCAGGGAAGGTTTATAGAGCAAAACTCGAGGTGAATATAAGGTGGGACAAAATTATGGTCAACTAAGAAGATTTCAAGTATTGTTGCTTGGGTAATATTGATCCAGTGGTGAAGCAAGTCTTGCAAGTGTACATGGTAGTAACAAGAATTTTTCCTGGAAAGGTTGGGTGAGGTGTTCTTCCTGGCCCTCCACTTTGGTGACTGATGTCTATTTAGAATATCAATCATTATAGTTTATCCTAGGCAAAGTACATAGGTCATTTTATCTTTTGCCTTGAGGTCTGGCCATTAAAGAATGTGCCTCCAACCACAGTTGTGATGTATTTTCATTTTCTGCACTGCTCCCTTGAACAACTAGCTCTGTCTGACTATCTGTCAGATTTCTGTCTATATTTAACTGTCTATAATATTTAACTGTCTATAATATTATGAATTCCAGACCATAGCCAATAACCAAAGTGTTACTGGTGATTGGAAAAACCAGTTTTGTAGGTGTTTCTGGCAAGCAAATAAAACTATTTTTGAGAAAACAGAATTGTCCCAAAGGGTACGCCTGATTAGTGATTAGATTTCAGGTGAGGACATACACTGGTGTTGAAAAGATTTTGGGAGGAAGTAGTCTGAATTAGAAAGAAAATTAATGAGGCTATTAATGGAAAGCCACTTGCAGAGGTATTTAATCCTGTTTTGCCCCCATGTATACATACCTGACTAAGAAGCCTAGTGAACCAGGAGAGTCCAGTGCCACTCAGGTGGATTGCAGTCCAGATCGAGTGAGAGATGTTATGAAAACTTGCCTTGATATCATACTTCCTGTTAAAAGATCTTATCACTCTGCCAGCTCTTTGAATGAGGTAGGCCATTCTGGGAGGGAAGAAAAGCAGGCTGACAGCCCTGATAATGTGCCCTAGGTTTTGCAGCTGGAAAAGACATAGATCAGAGCGGTGATTCAAGAAAATCCTGTCCCATATGGATTCTGAAAAATATGCAAGCACTAAAACATTAAGCTACCTTTGTCAGCAATCTCAGATTCTAATATTTTTTCCCTATCCTGCTAAGTTCTTTTATTAGCCACAATGATAATGATGCTAATAATAATCTACTTATTCCAGCCTCTGGAATGACTTAATAATTTATTATCTTCACTTTTGTCTAAAATTCAGCACAATTCAGCCTTAAAAAAAGAAAAAAAAATTATGAAGTTACATACAGAAAATGAATTATGCACCAAATTGTAAATATTCCATTTCTTTTGCTGATCTGAAACTCCCCAAAGAAATATGAACACTTGATTTAAAATTCAGCTGCAGTGACATTTCCTAGCTGGAAAGAATGCTTGCACAAATTCACAAGTATTTGCAAGCCGATAACTTTTTTGGTGGATACTAGTACATTTTAATGTGTTTTTAAAAAACCATCCTATGTTGAAATTCTCCAAAATGAATAAAATATTTCTTAGTGGAATCTTATTCTGTGAATAGACTTTTGCAACATTTCAGCAATAAGGGACTTTGCATAGCTAACTTCATGTTAGTAAAAAAGCATGTGACTGCAACATCTTCCTTGGAAAATATCGAAAACCATACAAGCACCTACTGTTGCACTGCATATTTAACTGTTATACATCTTGGCCAGCTGATATTCCATAACTGAGAGGTATGAACCACTGACTTATAAAAAGAAAAGGGAAAGTCAACCCACTGTGATTTTACTCTTTCCTCTAGTAGACTTTCCAAACATGTGCAAAAATAAATTAACCTTAAAGAACAACTGTTAATATTTTTTCTAATGTTTCTCATTTCTTTTGGTTGTTTATTACTCTAAAGTATTGTTCAGTCATGAGAAAGCTACTTTCCACTCTGTCCCTCTATGTTAAATGATACATTGGGGGCCAAATCTAAAACCTATGCAAGTATTTTGGACATGTGAGGCAAAAACAGTAAAGTAAGTGAGCCAAAGTCCATTATTTCAATGATTTCATGTGGAGGATAGTGGATAGAGGTATATATATATATATATATATATATATATATATATATATGATGGAGATGCAAAGATAAGGGCCTTTTAGAGCCACAAGCTTAAACCCTACCAGTGTGTATGGTCAAAGATTAAAAGATAACCCATTGTGGTCACACATCACACGAGGATCAAAATGCAATGGATTAAGATTGAGTGTTTGGCCTTCATCTTCCTCATATTGATTTATTATTTAATTTAGTTACAGAGTCAGTCATTTAACAGAGCATCCTCATCTTTTCCTGTTCTTCTTGTCACCCACCTGAGTTCATGCCCAGACTCCTTTCTTTCTTCTTTGATCCTTGTTTGCTGACTAAAAGGTCACAGAGGCTTCAACTTGGGGTTAGCATTTGAGATTTGCTCATGTTGAGGGTTCTTAGTTAATGTCAACCACTTTAGGACCTCTTGGAGTATGGATGGACACTGACTTTGGTAACTTTGAGTAAACTTTTATACTTTTGTGCCACACCATGGTTGCAAGTTGTGAGAATTTCACAAAGTACAAAACACACAAATATAAACTGAATACCTTTATGCTGCATGAAATAGAAATATTTGCATATCAGCAATAGAAGATGACTTATATATATATATATACTTATTGAACATATACGCAGCATATATTTAGTAACTATATACTTATTTGTAATGCATTTCAATCACATAAAGTCTATATAGTGGAAATAAATATACTCCCCAATCTGCTTGTTGTCAGATACACTGAGTTCATGTTCCTAAAAATTAAACTGAATTCTAAGGAAAAACAGAAGTTAAGAGAAGGGCATCTTTATTGACAGAGATAGCTTCTAAGGGACAGGAGAGGACCAAATAATATGTTGCTAGTGAGCTCATTACTCAAAGGGAGATTTATAGAGCAAAACTGAGATGCATAAAATTTGGATCAAAATCATAATCAACTAATAAGACTACAAATATAGCTGGTTAGATAATATGGATCGAATGGAGGAGCAGGCAATAGATCAAGGGCATATTGGAAAAAACAAAGACCTTTTTTCAGGAAGGGATAGATTGGGGGCTCCTGACACAAACCAAGATGACTGATGTATAACTAGACTGTTGGACCAGTTGAGTATCATCTTCAATTTATTGCTTATTCCTTATGTGTGTGTGTGTGTGTAAAGAGGGAGGATGTAGTCCTGGTCCTACCATCTTTATCTTAAGGCCTCTCCATCAATAGATTAACCTTCAGCCATAATTGTAATGTATTCTCACATTGTACACTGACTCCTTTGAGGTCCTAACCCTGTCTGACTACCTATAATGTTTCTACCAAATTTAGCTGTATAAATATTTCCCCCTCTGAAAAGGTACCACTAACTACCATGAAGAGGGCACTTATTTTGGTTTCTTATGGCTGGAAGAAGTTTCAGTTGTGATCAGCCATCAGAGATATACTCCAGAGGGTCTACAAAAGACTCTTGGTATATGCCAAGCATTTTTTTCTTGGGTAGACACGTAACTTTAAGTCTGGTGGAGACAATGTCAAGGAAACAGTTAAATATGCATGAGCTAAATAACGAATTGAACAAGATTATTATTAAGGCAACCAACAAATATTTCCACTAGGAAGAGCCAGTAATGGCCTCCCATCAGGGGGTAAGGAGAAGCTCCAGGAAACTTCAGAATCTGACACGGAATTAACCTGGAATTTAATAACTTGGACAGCCTTTGAGATATTAGCAGAAGGATCAGGAATGTACACAAAACATTCAGCTTTTACAATTGCTCAAGAACCCCCTTGTGCTGCTATTAGACTGTCTCATACCATCCAATTTATGAGGACCACTTGCCTAATTAATTGCACTTCTTCATTTACAAGAGAGAAACCAGTCTAAGTGCCTTCTAAGGCCTGTCAGGTATAGTTGAGCAGGGCTTTGATATGTTACATGACATCCTTTAATCCTTGGAAAGGGAGAAAGATAGATGCCAAATGATCATACCGGAGAAACATACTTCTAGACCATTGATGTCATAGACAGGATAAGTTTTCAGGTTTGTCAGTACTTTTAACACCACTGCCTTGTAACCTTCCAAATCCTAGTGTGTATTTTTCCATCCATACAGGGGTAGCCAGGGCCAAATTGGTTCCACAGGACTAAGGAGTGCTGTTTCGGGCTTCCCATCTAATTCCTGGGTGAGTAAACCAGTTTATTGCAAACAAGCCTAGTCTTAAATTATAAAGTTATGGTGTGTATACATTTCTCAGGAATTATCCCAAGTATTTTTATAGTAGAGTTAGGCAAATGAGAATAAGAAGGATTTATTTGTTCCCAACATAAGGGGGCTTTTCTGTTATGTTATTTCAATAGTTGGGATTGACAATATATGATCATCATCAATATAAATATTGACCTTCGGCCCTTCACTTAAAGTCCTTATCAGAACTATGAGCTTTTGCTAGATGGGCATTAGTTCTAGGTGCAGGTGAGGAATATTCAGTGTCAGATTTAGAGTCATTACTATGTACATTGCCTTTCTTTTCCCCATTTTCCATGAAGGAACTGCCATCACAGAAGAAGGTCAAATCAGGATCAGAAACAACTGTGTCTAACAAGACTTCTCTGATTGCATATGTATGAAAAATTATCTTATTTCAACCTCAATTTCCTCCATTTCTAGTAGAGTAGAGGGTATAAGGAAGACATAACTTTATCTGAATAACTGAGCCATATAGAAGTAGAGACTGGTATTTGTGTAGCCTCCCTTTGGAAGAAAGAAGTCCTGCCACATTGTGAGATGTATATATAGTATGATATTTACCTAAAGTCAGCTCAGATGCCTCTGGTACCAAGAGAGCTATGGCAGCCATAGCTATAAGGCACACCAATCATCCCTTTGCTGTAATATATAATTCATGACATGGATATCCTATAGGAGGTGTAGCAGATTCTTTATCTTGTATAAGCACTAACAAAACCAAACCCATCTTTCATCAACACATAGTGTCCTGTATGTAGACTCAGTGTTGGGACACTATAAGTCCTTGCTTAAGCTTATGGAATGCAATTTGTGAATCAGGTTCCCAGGTTAAAATTTGAGTATTTGCCTTTTGGGCTGCCTTTATAAGCTGATATATGGTCATGTGGTCTCACCGTATTCTGCTTATTCAAAAGTGAATAACTCCTGTGATTTCATGGAATCCCCTCAGCTATTACTACAGTTTGTGTCAGGATGTCCCCCTATAGCTTCATACAGTCACGGGGGCAGGCATCTAGAATTTGTGATTGATTCATGGTCCAATGCTAAGATTATGGTATGAGTGCTACCTATACCCCAGGGTGAGTGTGGCCTATATACAATACAATGGACAAAAATAGTCTGTGTGATACTCCTTTTTTGCTCATGTGACTTTTGGTATCTCATTCCGGCATGAACTGTTACCTTCTGCCATGAGGAACCTTGCCTTAGAGTCAGCCAAGTATAGACAGAAACATCCACAAACTGAGAGCTAAATAAAGCTTACCTTCCCTAATTTGGGTATTAGGTATTTTGTCTCAGCAATGAGATAAAAGTAACCAAGACAGAATTCAGTACCGCAGAAGAGGGATTGGTGCTGTGATTATAACCTGACCATGTTATTCAAGAGTCTTTTGAAATGGCTTGTGGGAAGACTTTGGGAAAGTTGGGAGATATCACCTGAAATAGCAGAGCTGGAAAAATGTGGGCTCTTCTGTATGGGAGATTCTAGTTAGAGCTCAGAAAAGCAGAAAGCTGATAGAAATCCTGTCAGTAAAGACAAGGTTTGGAAGGTTTCTGTTGAGAAGAAGGACTGCATTGGCTTCTGGACTGCAGGAGATGTATGTTATGGCTTGACAAAAAGTTTGTCTAATTTTGCTCATGTTCAGGGATTTTGCCTTTGTTTAGAGATTTTGCCTGAGACTAATATTAAGGGTGACAGACATGGCTATTGTTGGGGATTTTTAGCCAGATTTTTGTTGCAAATCAAGAACAAAGAACCCAGCAAGATGACTTAAAATGTTGTGAGTTTGGCCAGGAAAAACAAAAAACAAAAAACCTCCAATAAGGCTGTGGACTAAAAAGATAGAGCTGAGAATTGTCTTCATTGCTGAGAAAGAACAGGAGGATATAAAAGATGGCCTGAGGTGTCAAAAGAAGCAGAAGGACTCCACCATTTGTAGTCTCAAAATTGTTAAAATGAAAGACTTTGCTTTGAGGAGAAATTTGCAGAGCACCATGTTCCAGAATTATGTTCTAGAATTTCAACAGCAACCACACCAGGTTACAAAATAGTGGCAGCTTCACCAGGTTTAGGATTGACAGTTGTGGCCACACAAGGTTCCCAAATGGCCATAGTCACACAAGATTCCAGAATAGTGATAGCATAGAGAGTTTGTTCTTCTGAGTCAGTTTGAGAATGCTCAATATATAGGTACTTGACCTCTATAGCCAAAGGAGAAGAAAGCCTGGCTACTGTTCCAGCTGGCAGTGGACCTTGGCATCATCTATGTAACAATGGTTTTATGCACATGCAGAATGCATGAATTCTGAGGTTAAAAAGTCTCCCACTCTGATTTCAAAAGAAGACCTGGGAGAGCAGGCAGTGTGCTCCTATGAGGGCAATGTGTGAAGCTGAGAGTGAATCCAAAGGTGCAGTGGAGACCTCAGAAGTTTGATGAAGCCAGAAATATGAATCATCTGAAGAAATATGCAAGGAGGGAGCAAAGTGAGCTTATAAGAAAAGCCGTGGGAGCTACAGCCACTGGAAGTGTAGCCACACAAACCCTTTGGAGCTCACAGTTTATCACAGAATGCTTCAGATGTTTCCCATGGAACTACAGGACTTAATATTTGCTCTCCTGGTTTTTGGACTAGCTTAGGTCTATTTGTTTTGTGTTCCCCAGTTTGTAACTTCTGGAATGGAGATGCTTATCTTCTGCCATTTTATGTTGATAGAGTTTAACTTTTCATTTGTATATGGGGCTCACAGCTAAGAGTTTGCCTTAAATCTTGGAAGAGCCTTGGAACTTGGACTCTTCAGCCGTGCTAAAACTGTTAGAACTTTGATAATTCTTGAAGATTGATAAATATCTTTTGCATAAGGATATGCCTGAGTCTTTGGGAGGCCTGGGGAAAATATTATTTCTGTCAGCATGTCTCCCTAAAGTCTCATTTGGTCATGGGTACTGCCTTATTTAGCCTGTGAGCTAAATAGAGCTCTCCTTCCTTAACTTGGGGTGTCAGAAGTTTTGTCCCAGCAATGAGAGAAAAGTAATCAGAACATCTGTGTTAGGGTCTCAGATTGTGAGAAGCAAAATATTGTTTTAATTCTCCCTTCTCCCAGCCTTTGTGTTACCTTATATATGAGTAGTCCAAAGTATTTTATCTCAAGGCTGCAGAGTTGTGCCTTAGATCTAGAGACCTTATAACTTTTGGCTGTTAGAAAATTCAGCAGAGCATAGGTTCCTTGGCTAGAGAGCTCTCATTAGGAAGCAGATAACAGTATATCTACATATTGCATCACTGTGATTCACAGCATCCAAAGTCAGAGAAAAGGATTTACACCAAAAGATGAGTATTGCCTGTAAATACTTGAGGAAGCATTGTCTAAGTCTTTGGAGAGGCCTGATTGTGGAGATTTTCAAAGGCAACAGGAAACTGATAATCTGTATATAAAGGAAACAGATAATCTGTATATAAAGGAAACAAAAAGAAGGCTTATTTTAAATCTAACACTGAAAACCAGTGAACATCTTCCAGTATCTGAGAATGAAGAATGTAGAAATGATTAGGTACTATGTGGTGCACTGACACTACTGCCTCATTTACCAATCTAAAGTCTTGCACCAGTTTGCAAGGGGATTGCTAGTGGTAAGGAAAAAACAGTGGGATATTTGAGATGCATTTCATCAGGGTTGGTCTTATTGCTCCTCTTAGTCATATTTAGGTCATATTTCAAGACTTATTTCTGTCTCCATGAGAGGGAGGCGCATATCTGACTGGTATGCATGTATGTCATAGTATTCAAGCAAGATATCTTTCCCCAAAGGAGAACTGGGCTTTCAGACATGATTATAAAGGAACAGAAGACGGAAAATCTATCCCAAATATAGCCTAAGGGTTCTTAGAAATATCGAGGTATCTCCTCTCCAGTGACTTTCCAGTGACCCCTTTCACTGGAATGTGATGACTGTGAAGAAGACTAGAATTGAAACAAAGGACCAAGGGACACATGCCAGTGTCCAGGAATAGGCTTGTTCCTTTACTTTTGACAGTCGTGATTATCCAAGGGTCTTCTGTGGAGATGGCTGTCTAGTGAGAGCGAGAAGCCAGGGAACGTTCTGGGCCCCTTTAGTCCTGTTGGACCAACTGGTAAGGTGGGTCTAATCCCTGAGACCTCCATCTAGGTGATGGTACTCTGAATTCAATGAATTACCTTTGCAATTAGGGTATGGATCAAGGGACTTCTTTGATGGCTTTCATCACAGTCCTTCCTAAGGTAATCTGGATTTCTCCAGTAACTTCAGGTTTGTTAGTCACCAAGTAACTAAAATCTGAGGACAGAGGTCAAGTTTATGCCTTGCAAGAGTTTAACCAAGGCAGTCACATTTTCTTGATCTCTTTGTTTTCTCCTCCAGGTCTCTTCCTGTCTTGGCCACAAAATACAGAGGATGCAATACTCACTGAAGTATCAAATGAGCTATCTGGATCAAAACCCACCTTTTATAGCTATTTCCAAGGATCTGAAGTTGACTAATTGCTGTGACCCATTTGACCCATGGTGGGTCCTAAGAGGATGCTGGCAGAAGATTAAGAAAAGACATATAGAAAAAGGAAGGCTGGGAACACATGGGACATAGTTCTCTGATGGAGACGCAGCAACAACCCAGTGTAGTTTGCATATTTATGTGCAGTAAAAAGGGGAGAAACATATGATGGGGTCCAAAGTGCAAAATCTCAGTGTTTTGCTGAGATCCCTGTTATGCTGTAGTTCACAGAGAGGAATACCAAGGCTGGACGCCTGCTGATATGTAAGTGAGCTAGAGGTCACTTGCTTACAAGGTCTATCTCTGGCATTCCACATTTCTGGGACTGGCTTTGCTCTAGCTTTAAAGAATTCACAGTTCTTTGACTCAGTCTGAGTTTAGTCACTCCCCGCAAGTAACAAACATATCTCAGAAGTAATCTGTGCTTGTATTGAATCAGGATCCAGGGATGTATGTTTCATCAATGCCTCTTATAAATGATCTAAGGAAACATAGGAGCTCTCATATTTTTCCTCGTGAATAGTTGACAATTTAAAATAATTGAAGGTTGGGGCTGGGGATTTAGCTCAGTGGCATAAGCGCCTGCCTTGCAAGCAGGCAGTCGTGAGTTCGATCCCTGGTACCGATAAAAACGAAAAAGACAAAAAAAAAAAAAAAAAAAAAAAAAAAAAAAAAAAAAAAAAAATTGAAGGTCGTAGTTCTTGTCCTCTCTAGACCTTCGAGCATACGTGTCTGAAGAAGTTTATTCCAATCTCCTGTCTGATTGGTGGGTCAGTATTAACCTTGTGTAGGGACTTCTTTGGCCCCAGCAGGAAGCACCTTTTTTCCAGGCTGTCTGTCTTTTAGCCTTCTAAAATTGATACAATATTCATCTCCAAATGTGATAGCAGCTTGTAATGCTGGTATCTCTCACTAGACATTAATGTTTAATGTAAACATTAAGTAAGTCCCCTAAATATTTCTATGTACTTATCAAGATGGCTTAAAAACTTTCTCTCTCTTTGAGGCCACTAAGTACAAGTGAAGGGAACCTCAGTCTCAGTAACAGTGGATGAAACTATGATCAAATCACCTTGGAAACTTCATGCTTAGGATCCAAATGGCAAGGGAAGGGAAGCTATGACTCTGAAGCATCTCCTTAAGCCTTAAGTGCCAAACATATCTGGTTTTCCTGTAGATTACATTTAAATTTTGAAAACAAGTGAAGATTATCTTTTGATGCAAAAAAGTCTGAACATAGATAATTCTGACCATTTTCCCTCACTCAGAGTACAATTCTAGCTGTGAAATAGTCTCATAATCAATACTTGCCTTGCATTCCATTTTGTTTCTAGGAGATAGGCAAGACATACATGAATGCAGAAAAATATTAAGCACCTCTTTTTCAATATGTAAAGGTCAAACAATTTCAGAGCTTAAGAGTGAAGAGTAAGATAATTTTGAGTGACAGAACTTGACACGGAGTTCCCCAAACACAGTAAAGGAGAAAAATAGTCATCCCTTTTAATCCATACTTGATTTTTATGTACTCTTCCCTAGGATGACCTCCTCCAAAGCAGATGGTTATTTCTGAAGAGTGACCAGAAGATAGATTGTGTTGGACTAGCCATCTTTAATGACTTGAGCTTCTATGTTCCCTAGAAACTCACATTCTTAATTCCAGCATGTGTTTCCAAAAGTAAAAGCTACAATTAATTCAAGCTGTAACAGTCATGTTTATAGAAGTGAGCATTGCTAGCAACCTTAAACCAATACTGAGCAACTGATTTCTAATGCTTTGAAAGAAAGTGAGGAAAAAATAAATTAAAAGGCAAATTGGAAGTGGTTGAAGCACTCCCCAACTTGCAAAAGAGACACAGCTAAACATAGACAGGTAATGGTTCTTAAAATTCCTGCCTTGGGCCCTAGGGCAAAGAAGACCCTCAAAGCATTTGTGATGTCTACTTAATCATCTAGGCAATCTTTCTCAGCAGTAAGACAAGGCTGTGTTTTACTCAAAATCATTTCTAAAAATTTTATATCTGTATCTCTACAACACATTTATGAAACTTGAAGGTTAAAATATTTCCCTATCGTTCAGCAACCATAACTTAACACATTAGCAAAAGTAGCTTCTTGTCTTTGGAAAAACAAACACTCCCCTTTCAATGGGTTTAACTTAAAATTTTTTAGTTGTTGAATAGGAGGGAATGGTTGAGACAGTTCAGGGTTCCTCACCTCTAATGTTTAGTAGAAATATGCCTCTAAAAGAAGACCAGAACAAAGTGACAGAAAAAAGATCAGAAATGAGATCAGAACAAGGAAGTCTTTTGTTTTCAAACCTATGGTAGGTTGTTGAGAGTACCTGCCCATGAATCATTACCCTCAGCAAGGAGAAATGAGAATGGGGAATCTCAAGAGCTAAGATCACCTCCTCTCCACTAGAAGATTAAATCTGATCTTTCAGTGGGGCAGAACAGGCTCAGCATCACCCTCTAGAATGTAAAGGGGAGATCAGACCAGTCTATCCCTGTGAAACTGCTCCTTCAAATATTAAGAATGGCTACTGGCTTATTGTTTTTTAATTGGAAGTTGAAGTTCCATTACTTATTAATAGACATGTATATTTCCTAAATATAAAAGATTTCATAAAAAGAACAATTTTATAGCATTTCATAAATTGACATTTTGGTTAGTATATAAGTTCACTAGGGGATGCTCTAACATTACTTTTTCCAAGTGCTGGTGTCTAACATAAGGTAACAAACCACAACAGTCAAAACAAGTCAAACAGCTCAAGCAAGAAGCGTCAATAGTCAGCAACAATTACATCAAAATGCAGAATATACAAAATAGGAATACAAGATTTTGCCTGCAAAAGTAAAAGATGTCATCAAAGAAATGTTATAATCATCCTAAGTTCTCAACTAAAATTTATCATCATTTTAACAAAAAAAATGTGTAAAAGCAGTCAAGACATAAAATATCAAGGAATAAGCAACTGACAAAAAAGGGTAACAATTACGATTACCTAAATGAGTTGCCATCCAAAATCTATGAAGCAAAAGCAAACTCTTACCTAAATCCAATTATTTCACTGGATCCTAAAAATGACATAGAGCCAATGACTGTAACTACCAACCTACTAGATGTCAGGTGTGCTAAATTTATGCTTCCCAAGGTCACACAATGAATTCTAAGGAACAACAGATGTTAAGAATAGGTAAAATTATTGAGAAAGATAGTTCCTGAGAGCAGGAGGGACCCAAAAGTGGGTTCCCAATGAGCCCACTTCTCAAAGGAAGTGTTATAGAGCAAAATCACTAGATGGGTACAGTAAGGTTCAAAACTATGATCAACCAATAAGATTACAAGCATAGCTTTATAGATAATACTGATCCATTGGGGAAACAGGTTACATAACCAATGCACATTGGAAAGAACAAAGACCTCCTTTAGCAAGAGAAGGATCAGTATTTCATTCTCCATTCCTAGAGATGTCATCTACCAAGGTGACTAATGTCCATTTAGACTTTATTGGACTAGGTTAATATAATCTTCAATTTATCACTTATTCCTTGAGGAGGCAAGTGGTCCTGGTCATACCATCTTTATCTTGTGCCTGGCCTTCAACAGATGCTATTCCAGTCATTGCTGTACATTTAACACTCAAGTTATGACCATCTGAAAATATTAATAACCTGGGATATGATCAGAATTTTAGGTTTAACTTATGTCCAAAGTCTTGAGTAACGACTCACATGTCAGCCACTTTTGAGGTTATGAACAAGGACTCACAATGTCAGAAAAGTGTATGTGAGTGTACATAAGCATCAGTCTGAATCCATGAGTGTGTTTGTGGATGTGATTTCAGTCAATGCTATACACGATCACTAACATTACTGCTACAAAAATGGCAAGGGAAAACTAAAAATTAAGCTGGGAAGGAAGGGAAGGTAAAGGAAGCAATCCCAAGTGGAAAGAACAGTGTTATAAAAAATACAGTAACAGAAAATGTAAGATCAATTTTTAGTCTGAAAAAATTGAAACCTAGTGCATCAGAAGCAAGTCCTAGTGAGATGCAGACTTTCCCAAGGAAAGCAAGACAACAGAGAGCCAGATTACTGATATTCTTATGGAAGGAGAGTCCCCTTCCAGACTATAACCACTATCTGTTTCATTCTCCATTCTGTAAATGCCAATTTGAATGGTAAGCACCATATGAAATTAATGTTTCTGATATGCTTGGCACATTTTATAACTTTGGTGAATATACTAGGGAAATTGTTGATGTTTCTGATAAATGAAACACATTGTACAACTCTTTTTTATTATGAAAAGGTTAGTTAGGGGTACTTGAGGGGATTCAGAATACATTATGGGTATTTGCATTAGTTTTTATGGGAAAAATAGTCTCAGCTTACATTTAACTTCCGTTACAATCAGCTTTCACAAAGCAAATGAATTTTTAAGTCAAGGGTCCACTGTAATGTATTCTCATATTGCACACTTGACTCCCTTGAAAGCCTAGCCTTGTCTGACTGTCTATAATATTTCTACCTAATTTAGCTATCTGTAATAAGGTGACTGATAGGAATAGTTTATAACATTTATTTTCATAAATAAAGAGTAGAGTATAAAGCTTATAAATTAAAGTGCTATGTTCTTGACTACTCTACTAGTATTAATCATAATTAACCATCACTCAAAAGAATTCTACAGATACCTCGGGTTCAAGGCAACTTCAATTTATTTTAAAGGCAATCTAAATGTCTATCCCAGAACATACTATGGGAGCAGAATATGTGGAACAAGCCTAATGATGATAGAATTTAATGATTATCTCCAAAGGCTTGCTGGTAGAAGCTTCTTAACTAAGTACCTGTAGGTTGGATGATTTATTAGTGGATTGATTGATTGATTGATTGACAGGAGTTATACTACCTGATAGAGTCCTATATAATTTTTTACCCTGAAATAATTGGTAAGTAATCAGGACCTGGTCTGGCAGGAAGACACAGAGTTAGCTTCTGTAAGAGGTATCTTTCAGAAAGAATTAGGTGTCTAAAAGAAATAGAAAGTTACTTAGAGTAAAGAATACTAGCGAGAGTACATTATAGAAAGGGTGATGCAGGTGTGCATAGCCTAAGAGATTGGATCCTTCCCCAATTTGATGTCTTTTGAAACAGTTTCAAATTAACCAAATGCCAGTGGAATAAAAAGTTGATTGATTTTGTGCAATACATTTTTTCTAGATAAGCTAAATTGTTTTACACATGGTGAAATTATATGCAAAACACATACATAGTTGCACATACCAATGAAATCTTAGCATTACTGCAGTTGACACAGTAACTAAAAGCAATAAAGCTTTCTATTATTCCATGAGGTGTCTGTGTTTGTCTATCTATATTTGTCTCTTTCTCATCCTTTCTGAATCTCTCACTCATTCCTTAATTCAGCAACTCTCCCATTTTGGTCTTTGGTTTATCAATATCTCAAAAGTCAAACATGACCAGTCCTCTATATATCAAATTTTCAGATTTTACATTAACCTCTGACCTATAGCCCAATTTAGCGCAAGTATTTATATTTATGCTATTCCCTAGACCTATACATTTTGATCAAAGAAAAGACACTCCCTGTTCAGTGCCTTTGGAGAGCACTTTGCAGGTACCATCCGTTCAGAAAAAGCAGTCACCCAATACATGAGATTGTGACAAGGTATAATGTAATGGTAGTTATGCGAACCTCCAATAAACCAGTGCTACTTCACAGATTACTTGGAGAGAAAGTCTCTTAGCGTGCTTGAAGAAGTATGAAATGAATTTCATTTCCTTCTCATTTGCCTTGCTTCTGAAAGGTTTCATGCAAGATATGTGACCAACTATTATAGTACTAATCCATCCATGACAGAGCTCAATTTTCTCTGAGAATTTACTTCTGAATGGGCTTCCGAAATACTTGAAAGCTCAAAATTAAAGTATACTGAACAGAGCAGCTACTGAGCTGTGGACAACTGTCAGTCAAGAAAACCAGTGAGAACAAAATGTAAATTAGATTTTATTTTATTTTATTTTTTAAAGTGAACTATAATGATGAGGTGGTAAAGTTTTATAGCCCATTTCCAAACAAGAACAATAAGTAGGGCAGTGGCAAGAACTGTTGTTGTGAGCTTTTCTCATTATTGCAAATGAAAATGGGAAATTATGTTATGGAAACTCTAGAAGGAATTTGCAAAGACTATGGCATGTCAGATGCACTCTTTGTTCTGGTGGCTGAGAAAGTGGAATGAGGGAAACTGTCTGCCAGTCACTTGAATAATGTCTTTAAAACAAGTGATACTGCTCATGGTATTCCTATACCAGAGTGCAGTACAGTGAGCCCAATTTATCAAAGACAGTTTAACATAATAAAATGGCAAGACTTTGAAAATTCAACACTATTTGAAACCACAATATTTGGGATATTAGATATATGTTGGACAAAAATGACAAACATGGAAGGATTTCTAATTATTATAATTTGTGGAAATACACAGGAATCCAAAGTTTATACTTAATGCCATTAAAAACCAACATCTGCATTATGTACAGTAAAAGTTCAAGAACACGTAAAGGCCTCTATCTTGATCTGAAAATCAAGCATTCTATTAGCAGCTGAATAGGCAGGAAAATATGAAAAAAGTAATGCTTTCATCAAGTTCCCAATTTTCAGTATGAGCAAAATAAATTCAGCAGCCAAAAATGAAATGGACTTTTTCACTGAAACAACACATTTAATTAAGAGGTATAAGTAAGAAATAAACCCAGGGATGCTTTATTTGAGTTAAGTGCTTCCAGATGTTGCTTTTTTAGGGTCGATGGAACATTTCAAGAAGGCAGTGACAAGTAGTTGGAAAGACATATGTGTGTACCAAAGTGGTTTTGAAAGACATATCAATCTCCAGCCTTACAGGAAGAGATATTTGAAGAGAGAACCGGTAGAGAGATGAGTATATTTGGGTGTGATGATGCTAAAGGGGTAATAAACCACAATGTAAGATATCTAGGAAGAAGCTGTCCTCAAATTTCATTCTACCACTGGAGTTGGATTTCCTGGATCTTGTTTATTGGCTACTGCTTTCTGCTTTTTATTTTTGTGTGTGTGTGTTTTGAACAAATAGAAAATTATATTTCCCCAAAGTGGGAACCCAATCAAATCCATCAGATAAAGGATAGGAACAGATTTCACAGAGTTGCATGAGCTCTCTCTCCCCAAAATTGTGTACTAGATGGACACAAATCTGTGTAATTAAATTAGATTTATTATATAAAAATTTCTACATTCTCTTCCCACACACGAAAAAGAGGAAGGCAGCCAAAATGCTAAAAAAAAAATCCTAAATATTCTATTATCTCTTCAGGATGATAGTCCAGGGACATGATTTAAAACTCCAGTTTGATCAGAAGCTAGGAACTGTGGAAAACTGGCTGATCATTTTGTTTTTATTTCTTAACTTTTTAAAGGCCAAATTCAATGTTAAAAACATTTTTCTGGTTTTAGCTGCAGAAGGTGATCTTTGTCTCACATCATCTCAGTATAATAACTTAAACTTGTCTTAATAACCTATGACTCCAGAAAAGTCATTGTGGCAAAAGACCCATTTAAGTATTCATATAAGCACAAGGTGCAAAATACCATCTTTCATAGAAGGCCTTCTATGAAAGTGAAAATTTCAAACGTGATATATACTTCCTTAGTAAAATGTTGGTAACCAGAGTGAATAAGATAGAGTGAGAAAGAGAGACAGTGAAGAATGATGTTTCTAAAAGCTGTAAGTGTATAAAAGAAACTGAAAATTCAGTGTTATACTGCTGCTCTAGTGGAATACACTCAACAGTTGAAGAGAAGAATTTAATTAACAGACCTATGGAAATGAGAGCCCCTTATTATAGTCAGGTCGAAATATTTTTTGATGGCTCTTTTTTAATCATTTCTTTTAGATTTGGGGCAAACTTTAGAAGAGTCTTTGCCAACTAGAGGAAAATTTGTTTGGTTTGTAGCCTGTCATGCTATTGGGAGGTGTGGGAGTCCTTAGCAGGTGAGGTTTAGTGTGAAGTCTTAGGTCACTGATGATGTTCCTTTAAAAAGGATCTGGGTTCCTTGTTCCTTTCTTTCACTTTCTTACCTCATGGCAAATGAGTTGCTCTGTCACACATTCCCACTGTGATGCTTGCCAACTGGATCAAAGCAACAGGTCAACAAACTGGACTGAAACTTGCAAATTGTAAGCAAAGTTAAACCTCTTTATAAGCTGTGGATCTTTTATAGCATCAGAGAGCTAAATAACACAAGGAGTGACACCAGCTGACTTACCTGTTCCTAATTGAAAATTTTTGCAAAAAGTGCTGAATTAGCATCCTGTTAGTCACATTCCAGGTGCAGCTGCAATAACTGTATACTATTTTTTTTTTCTGTTCTCTGCCAAAGTAGTGAAAGAGAAGAGACAAAAGACAGGTTCATATCATGCAGTCAAGAATGCTAATGTCAGCAGCACAACTCTTCTAAACAATACAGAAGAACCTAAAGGCGAAAGCAAAAAGTTATAAGCACATGTGTTTTACATGGGATCTGACCCATATTGATTTCTGGAACTTCAGGATAGCTAGTAACTTAGGACACTGCTCAGTCTCCAAGAGAGTGGCATCTCTTCCTGTTCCTCCTCTCATTCTTCCTCTACCACCTCTCCTCTCCTTCTTCTTTCTTCTCTCCCTTCCATCTGTATCAGTTAAGGTAAACTATGGTTTCAAATTTAAAAATATACTATATACATATATATATATATTATATTGACACTGGTTTCAAATTTAAACATATATATTATATATATATATAATATATATATATATATATATATATATATATATATATATAATGAGGGTGGATGAATGTAAAACAGCTCTGTACATGCTAGCAAGTCAGACCATGGGAGGATGAAGCTGAAAGTGAAGGCCTGGCGTGCACTGCAGACTCCAGTGTAAGTGTTGAAAGAGCTGAAGCATTTGTGTTGGAAGACTGAAGATTCCTCATTGGATGCCTGAGGGAGCTGGACACAAATGTATAGAAACAACAGCAAAGACCACGGGTGCTCTGAGTAAGCACCAGGGGATGATTTCCTTCTTCTTTCACTTTCCTTCCATTCAAGGACAAGCCTATTGGTGGGTGCCACCAACAGCCATTGTGGGCCTTCCCTCCTCACTCAGCATCCACAGACACACCCAGAACTACCATCCACTAATCCCCTAGGCATGCCTTAATCCACTCGAGTTGGCATCACAGTTTACTATCACAGGCATTATTATCACAGTGTGTTCAGGATCTAGAGTAGCATTATGTGGGATGCAAGTTTAAGAATCAAAAGTTCTGAGTTGTAGATACATTACTACCATATTTGTTGTTGACAAAGTCCTGTAAGTTAACTGAGTGTCAGTTTCCTCAGTGATAATTAACTCAATCCTATTTACTCTCCATAAATATTGTAATAAAAATTGAAGTATATTTGACTTATATATATTTTTAGTAAAAAAAAAAATCGTTGTTTCTATTTTTGACATCTGGAGCTATCATGTGGTACCAGAACACACACTCAATCATCTTTCCTGTACTTTGGGTTTAGCACATAATCAGTAGAGGATCAGCAACCTGTCTATCTATCTAGTTATGAAATTCGTATAACCTGTCTCTTCTCTGTATTTTGTCATTAGATCTTCTCAGACCAATTAAAGGACAAAGTCATTTTACTGATCTACAAACTTATAACATATGTTCCACAAAGTTCATTTGACAGTGCATGATACATATGAGACACTAATTTGATTTTGAATTGCTACAAAATTTTAAAATGTATTTCAATTTTGTGAGTCTCAGTTGTTTTTTAAACTTGGTTAGTACAAGTTTTTTCAGTGTGGTGTTGCTGCTTTTATTAAAAAAATTATGTCACATACATTTTTTGAATGTTATAGTTATCCAAAAAATGTCTAGTTAATAACAGTCGAATTATCCAGTATTAATAGTTCCATACACCACACTGTGCTTCAGTTGGTTGTTGCTAATTACCTCAATTAGTAGTCTCTTATATTTTTGTATGGAAGATATTCTGAAAGACCAAGAACTAAGACAAGTTGTAATTCTACTGATACAGTTTTTATCACTATTCTAGAACTTCTGGAACTTACATTCTCAGAGTTATCTATTACTGCATGCTTTTTGACGGAGATGTCTGAGCACTGAGAAGATAAGGCATACCGAAGCTGCTGGCACTGAGATTACCGTCAGTCAGCTGGCATCTCCCTGCTTCTGGTCTGGACATGTCTTACCTTCTCATTTATCCCCTGTGATTATGGCAGAATAACACAACAAAGAATTGTGTACTGTGAGTCACAGTAAGTAAAAATGGAGCATAAATACTTTTCATCTGCCAAGTAAGTATTTTTATTCCATGAGCATCGTGGTTTTTGTATTTAAAATGACAGATCCTGTCACCAAAGGTCTTAATATTATATTGAAAAGATATCTGTATTACAGCAGAGGTTAAAAAACTCATTTATTTATAAGACTCTCAGGTCCTGGAGAGGTCTTCTGCCTCTTTCTCCCTGCAGACAGTTAATATCATTGAAAATAAAAAGTTGTTATATTATATGACAAGGCATAGTGCTATTAAAAAAAAACACAGGCTGGCCAGTGCCAGAAATGTGCTCCAATGCTGGTAAGCCCATGGCTCTAATTGGAAAAAGTAAGTATTTTGCTTTTTTGTGATTCTTTTTTTCTTGTGTTTCTGTTTTTCTCCCATCCAGTTAATTTGCATTTTAGCATGCAGCTTTGATACAGTAAAAAGTCATAAAACAAGTTGTAGGAAACACTTCGGACTTTATTTTGGGGTTTCCAATTCAAGAAAAAATAAAACTACCCAAGGAGCAGATGAAGGAGGAGAACTGATGCTGGAGCCAGCTGGAGGGATGGCATTTCTTACCGAGGCTACAGAGAAGCTTGCAACCTTAGAAAGGCAAGAGACAGTAAACCAAAGGAGCTGGCTAAATTGAAAAGGGAGGGTCATTCACTCCCCTGCAGCTGGAGTGGCCTTTCATTGCCTTCATGCCTGAAGCTTTGGAACTTAGCTAAAAGAGTGAGGGGTCTCAGTGACTGACACTTAACACCTGCTGTACACAGGATAGGTCACTGTGATGCAGAGGCACTTTCACCTCCCATCAGACACCCACTGGGAGTTCCTCCACGGGACTCCTTGAATCTATATAGAGCATCCAGCCCACCACTGAGGCCAGTGGCAGCTTGTCCTGCTGTAGGAAAGACCACGGAGTGAATGGGTTGTGGTAGTCTAGTATTACGAGGACCAACAGTCACAGACTCAGAGGTTATTACAGGAGTCGCCAGGAAACACACGAATACACTTATCTATAAAAAGGAACATAAAGCCACAGTACAACTCATTGAAAAACTTGTTTTACAGTCCTACTTGAGGATACAGCTAGTGAGAGAAAACAGTATGTTTGAGTCCTTTTTAAAGTCTACAAAATTCCATTTAACTTTTCTTCTCTAAACCTAGACTCATAATAAGTGAGGAAAAAACAGCTGGAGGGGTGTTGATAATTTCATTTTTTAATTTGTCTTCCCTGCTGTAGGCATTCTTCAACTCAAAGCAACACTCTCAGCTTCTTTCATTCTGCTTGTGTTGGAGGTAAAACCAAATTAGATAGAGGATTTTCATCAGTCAAGGCCACAGACCACCTTGAATCAGTTCATCTAGAAGGGATTTACCTAGTGGTGCCGGACAAATGGTTTTGCCAAAAGTGCTGGGGAGAATTCACAGTCATCTACAATTAAGGAAGGAGGGGAAGCCTGTGAAGGTACTTAAAAGTTTATAGGAGGGTGAGATGGGTGATGGAGCTTAAAGCACAGTTTTACTGTGTCCCACTTAGGGGAAGATATAATTACAAGCTTAGAGTGTAAATATGGACATTTTTCTCTAATTCTAAAGAGAAATTGTGACATAGGTGTTTTGTATATTAAATTTAACGGTGAGATATAAAGTTTATTAGTGCAATTTGTGCTATGATTCTAAGATCCATTGTGTGAGTGGTGATCATGCTTCCTCTCGATGTAGTGCTACCAAAGTTATCACAGCAATATATAAAATGTTCATTTGCAGAGATTTTGGGTGATAGATCATACCAGGATAGATTTGAAATCATTTTCAGTTCACTAGGTCACACCAGTGAAGAGAAAGTTATAATGGATACAGGATTTGTGATTTGGACTACAAAACTGTTTCTTAGAGATTTACTTAATTAGTACACTCAGCGATAGTGACTACTTGAACCCACCTGGGTTTGTTATGGTGGTATTGAGGTTACCGGTAAGAAGTAAATATGAATACCCAGTTGGCAAAAAGTGGCACATGAAATGGCAAAAGAAGTATCCTCTATTTTCTTCCCTCTGTATGACTGCTAATCATAAAGTCTTCATTCCAGGTCTGCTCTTCTGTCAAAGTTGAATAGTTTTGCCAATGTGATCTACATTTTGAGGAACGACACAGTGTCATTTGACTGAACAGGTAGCTAAGATCAGAGTTCCCAGTGAAGTTTTCCTTTTTAAAAATCCTAGTTCTCTGGTTAGTTTATGTAGATGTCTTCCTCACTTAAATTTAGACAATGGTTTTGATATGATATTAGCCAACTTCACTGCTGCTTTTTAAACTTTGTCTATTGTGATTCACAAACATATTTTAGATGAAAATCTTATATGGTCAAAGTACAGAACAGCGGTTCTGATTTCTTTTATGATATCACTGTGAGTTATCTTCTGGGGATGAGCCCAAAACAGGTCATTAGAAGGAGGAATAATCAGTCTTATGGGTAGCTTAAAAATTATATGTACAAGATGCAAAAATATTTCAGAATGTGCTTTTATACATAAGATCAGTATCAGTGTCCTCCAACAAGCATGTGTGAAGTGCCTGCACAATGTAGTCAGCATTGAATCAAGTCCTGTGTTTTGAGCAGGGAATGAGTGTGAGGAAAACATGGTTCTTATCAAGTTGTTTTACTTAGTGGAGACAGAACTGAGCATTAAAATAACTGAGCTATCATAAAACACTCATGAATGCAAAGAGAACAATGAGTAGAAACCTAAGCCATAAAATGGTAGGACTGGAGGCAGAAAGATGAAAAATTCCAAATAATTTTAAGAAGGTAGTCGGAAATATTAAATACTCCCACTTATGCAAAGCTGAAGCCTATATGTGATTACAAGGGAAAAGAGAAAAAAGCAGGCAACAATTGGGATAATTATCCAAAATGGTGACAGAAATCTGTAAGTTTTGGAATATGCTAAAAAATCATTATTTTTTTGCTTTTTTAATCTAGTGCTTTCTACGCAACATCATTTATGACTGAATTGGCTACAAAAATATTCTGTGCATTCAAATTAGTTGCTTTCTTAGGTATGCTTTCTGGGGACACAGACTCCTGATTTTAGTAGTCTGTGTCTTAAGGTGTGTGAGGGATGCTGTATTGGGGGTCACAACAGCCAAATACAAGACTCTCCAGGACACACTCCCCGAGGTTTAGGTATTCTTTCTGACCAAATCTAAATATATAAAAATGTCCTTAACAGTTAAAATATGTTAAGAGTGAGCAACAGTTCATTCAAGTGAATGGTGGGAGATCAATCAGAGCCAGGGTTCAGATGTTTGGATAACAAAGCAGGCAATTTCATGGTCTTTCTCTCTCTCTTTTAAGTTCCTTTAGAGACCAAATGAGATAAATTGCTATCTGACCCATTGCTTGGGGATAAACATTAAATGGTTTATCTGGGCAACCCAATCACCTCCAGCCAGAGTGGAGAATTGGCCTAAATAATGAAGGTGTGTGTCATTCATCTCTTTGTCTGGCTCCTGGTAACCTTGACAGGAATGAGTGGAGACAAGCTGATTTGTATACACTCAATAATTCAAGGTGTTTGCTTATCTTTCCTTGTCAGATGCTGCTCATCCCAAGTCTGTGTTACCATCTAATTAGACATTTTTTTTTTTTACCTTGCCTTTCACATAAAGCTTTTTTTTTTTTTTTTTCATTTCATGAATTTAATTTGCAACCAGGCTTGCTTTTAGAAAATGTCACAGCTATTTGATTTGTTAACATGTTTATTAGTTTATTCAGGTCCTTAATATATCCTCCCCCCAATGTGTGATTCTTCTTCAATATAATTATCAGTTTGATTTTACTTTTTTAAATAAACAGCAAAATTTGGTCCTAAAAACATTATCCTTCAGCTGTGCTTATTGAAATCTGATGATAGTGATTTGTTGCTCTTGAATTCTTTTTCTGTCATACTTTCAACAGCTTTTAAAATTTTAGTGTTCTTGATAGACTCCTTTGATTTTTTCCATTGTTTGGAGTTTGATAACAATTCTTAAAAGTACAAATATGAGAGCTAATTATTAATATTTATAGTTTGTTTCTGAGCCATCATGTACCCAGTCCCTGCTTAAATTTTTGGGGTGGGGAACATCTATTACTTGGAAGAGTAAAATATGAGAGGTGGTGGGAAGGTTGAACTACTTGCCTAATACTGTTCTACATAACTATCTTCCTTGTTTGTGTGACCAGGGCTGTAGCACAGAACTGAGCCATTACACGCAGGATTACTATCCTGGAGACAGTGGAATGTGCTGGGAACACTGAGGAAATGAAAAAAAAAAAAGTTTTGTTGTTTGAGCTATTAAAATGAAGGCGGCTGTTTCTTATGTCAGCATAGCTTAGCATAAAACAATTAATACCCTATATTTGGAATAATTTTGCAAAAATATTTACTCTACACCACTCTAAGGTATCCATGTTATGTGCTCACATTTTACAATGCTGCAAAGGAAAAATGAAAAAAAAAAAATCTCTACCACAGGTGAGGTCTTAGGCTTGCTAACAGAAAAGAATTGAGAACATAATGGAAATGGAGAACAAGCCAGATGAGTGGGGAACGAACAGTTAACTATGATGTATGGATTTTAAGTATCAAGAGAAACCTTAAAAACATAATTTTAAGTGATGAAATGGGTCAGAAGAGAGTAGGAAAGAAGGCATTCCAAGGAATGGAAAACAATACTTTCAGCAAAAAAGCCAAATGCAAGAACAGTTCTTGTTTTAACTATTTTAGAGGAGAGATGTTTTAAAAAGTGTTAAATGAGTGACCAATGTTCTATGTCAAAATACATCTGTCTGTTAGGAACTTGGAGTCTAAAAACACAAAGGCAGATGCAATGTTAAGCATAGGAATTCATGATATCAGTTGTGAGTTTTGTTTTTCAGTGTTCAAAGTGTTAAGGCCATATCCTGGCTCCCTGTGTGCTGCTTTCTTTTCAGCTTTTTGAGTTGAGGATCAGACCCATGGCTCCCTTGCTAAAATTCTTTCTTTTCTTTTTTCTTTTTTTTTTTTTTTTTGTCTTTTTCCTTTTTATGGATACCAGGGATTGAACTCACAACTGCCTGCTTGCAAGGCAGGCGCTTATGCCGCTGAGCTAAATCTCCAGCCCCAAATTCTTTCTTTTTTAACCCTAAGAATATTTTGAAAAAACAACAACAACAACAACAAAATCACCTATTAAACAATAGCAACATTTAAAGTTTGAACAATAATTATCTAAAATATAACATACTTATCACATTGGTGGTCAAAATAACTTTGAAAATGTCTTAATTTCCTTGACGGGCAGCCTTCAGACTATAACAAGGACTCTAAAAGTACCCATATTTCCATTTATATATATGCAGGTGTATATATCATAACAAAATTTACAGTTGCACACACAGAACTTTGACAGCTAGACAGTGAGGGTAGCAGACATTCTTTGTCACATCATTTCTAAGTTTTTAGAGTGGTAGCCAGTTTCCATTTAAGATGCACAAAGTTTTGCCTCCTCTCTCATCCTCTCTGGTCATTTTCTATCTCCTAGGTTTCAAATCTATAGTAAGACACCAATATTTTTGGAAGAAATGCACATCCCCTTTCCAAAATAATCTCATTATCTTTAAAATAAATACTGAAAATGTGTTTAGGGCTATGCGTGGCACATATGTTCCCATTTTTAATTTGTAAACCTTCTAAGAACCACTGTGACTTAATCTTATGATCCAAACATGTGGACTCAATTGGTTCCCTACTTTATTTTTTTCACTTTAAAATCACTCTAATATACATTCCTCTTGTGCATGTGTCT